TTCTCGTCAATTTTCATACGAGGCAAATGGCAAATCTTCCACGTGGCAGCACTCAAAACATACTACAACCTGCTGTTCAATTTGCGCTTCGAGGAGTTGCCAGTGTCGACGGATCCAACAATGACGGTCAGAAGCATAATTCGCGACAACTAACCGTTCATTGACCAGTTCCCAAGTGCATAGTTTTTATTCACCAACTCAAGATCCATCATTTAATAATAAAAAAGTCAAAAAATCTTGTTCTAAAGCCGAGTTATATGCCGGTCCGCAACCTGCCCGGGCCGGACCGTTTTTTGGGTCCCCTCTAATAGAAGGGCATTCCGGGAGGCAAGGTGTTGTTCAAAATAGAATTCCCCATTTTTTGCTCAAAAATTTGCACAATTTTGATGAATTTCGAACGAGAAATTTCACCGAATTTTTAAATGAAAACTTTCGGAAAAGAAAAACTATAGCCGGAAGAATAGAAGGGCAGCCTCTAATAGAAGGGCCTCTGTAATAGAAGGGCCGGCCCTCCTAATACAGCTTTTACGGTATTTACAGTAACCAAACTGCTCACCATAACAAGCTCTGTACCACGCGACAGCCTTCTTCATCATGTTCTGCGTCGGAGCACGACAGTGTCGTTGGAGAATGTTCGTATCACTTTCGCCACGAGACGTTCCTTCGGTATTTGCTTCCCACGCACCTTCGAATTCCTGGAAAATAAATCGATTTTTAGCAATTGAAGTTTCACTGAAAATGGTCCAAATTTGGCTAATAATCATCCAAAAATCGGGCTAAAAAGGTAGGTTCAAATCTGCTGAAAAGAAGTCTAAAAATCACAAAAAAAGACCCAAATTCGTCTGAAAATGGTAAGAATTTGGCTAAAAATCATCCCAAAATCGGTTTAAAAAAGGTCCAAATCTGCTTTAAAAAGTCTGAAAATCACCAAAAATGACTCAAATTCGTCTGAAAATAATTTTAAAATGAACTGGAAATCATTTTAAAATCGACTGAACATGATCAAAATTTGGCAGAAATTAACCGAAATTAAAACAGAAAATTGGCTGAAAATAGCTGTAAAAGTTCAAAATTGGCTGAAAATCGTCTGAAAACTCGTCTGGTAAAAATTCCATTATTCTCGTTTTTCCTATCAACTTGGATTCAAAAAATGACAATTTTGGAACGTTTTCAGACGATTTTAGACGATTTTAGGTCATTTTTAGCCGATTTTTTTCTAGGTTTTTGACAGTTTCCGACCCAAAATGACCGAAAAATTCCGATTTTTACCTCGAAAAAGTGCTCTCGATACTTCTTGTACAGATTCGTGACTTTGGTCTCAATCATCTGATTCGTGTTGTAAAACGACATATCGTCCTGATCCTTGTCGGAAATTCGATTACGCATGTCCACAATGCATCCGGAGAACACCTCGCCTTCCGTCTTGATTCCATAGTTTTCCATCATTGACTGAAAATGAGAAAAATGAGGGAAACGGTTATTTTAAGATAGAAATAAGGTTATTTTCAGTGGGATTTTGTAGGCTAAAACTAGCCGAAAATTGTCAAAAACCAAGCCAATTCGAATGATCACAGGTCGTAAAGTGGCCAAAGCGGCTCTGAAAATGGTCAAATCACCCCTTAAAATGGCCAAAACGGCCCCGAAAATAATCAAATTGGCCTTGAAAAGTTGCAAAAGTTGAAATCCATCGATTTTCAGCTTTTTTCTAGCTCGAAACTCATCGATTTGCGGCTTTTTCTAGCTCAAATTTCACAGATTTTAGGGTTTTTCTAGCTAAAAATTCACCGTTTTTAGCCTTTTTCTAGCTCAAAGCTCATTGATTTTCAGCTATTCATAGCTAGAAATTCACCGATTTTCAGCTTTTTTCTAGCTCAAAATTCACCGGTTTTTAGCTTTTTATAGCTCGAAATTCATTGATTTTTCAGCTTTCTCTAGCTCGAAATTCACAGAATTTCAGCTTTTTATAGCTCGAAATTCACCGGTTTTTAGCTTTTTTATAGCTCAAAGCTCATTGATTTTTCAGCTTTTTCTAGCTAAAAATTCAGATTTTCAGCTTTTTTCTAGCTCAAAATTCCCCGGTTTTTAGCTTCTTATAGCTCAAAACTCATTGATTTCCAGCTATTTTCTAGCTCAAAGCTCATTGATTTTCAGCTTTTTATAGCTCGAAATTCGCAGATTTTCATCTTTTTCCACCTCGAAATCCGTCCAATTTCAGCCCAAAACTCAAAAAACTCACTCTCAACTGTGCATTATATCTCGCCAAGTCTTCTCTGGCACTGTGCATGTACTCTTTGTATCCATCCACCATAATCGTCTCGTCGATCGTAATCTCGACTTGTTCATCGCGTTCCTCCGAGATTTTCAGCACATCGTCGATGGCTTTGAACTCGCGGAACAATTTTCCACAGAGTCGTGGGCTGACATACATCGGCGTGTGATCGTTGCCCATATGATAGTCGGGCACTCGTTCGGCACGTTCCGGTGGAATCATCTCGCCTGTCACTTCGTCTGAAAATCATTTTTCAGATTTCAGATTGCTCATGTACAAATTTCGGCAATTTTAGAACCAATTTAGCGACTTTTAGGGGTCATTTTAACCATTTTTTAGAGCCAACACTGCCGATTTAACTCCACAAATGCTGAAAATTGCGGGAATTTTTCAGATTGCTTATTTTAAAGAGTGGGGTTCCGATGACCAAATTAGCCATTTTTAGAGCCAATTAGGCAATTTTAAGAAGCAATTTGGCCATTTTTAGAGCCTATTTGGCCATTTTCTAGGATAAATTTGGTGATTTTTAGGACCGATTTGGCCATTTTTAAGCGCAATTTGGGCATTTTTAAGAACAATTTGACGAATTTTCAGGGCCTAATTGCCAGAATTCTCACCTTTCCTCCACTTTCTCTCCAACTCTTCTGGCGGTTGTCCGGACTTTGTGAAATCCACTGCCTGGCAATTCTTCTTGGCCAAATCCATGCAGACTCTCGCGTTCAGACCGTACTGATCCGAGTTGTGGAGATGGCTGTTGGAGATGGTTCCCACGGAGTCGAGTTTCAGATATTTGACGTAGAACTCACGCATCAGATCGTCCTGGAAAATGGAGGATTTTTAGGGTCTAGAGGGGTCTGGAAGATGCTAGAAGAATTCTGAAGATCCCAGTCCTTCTATGTTTCTCTGAATCGTTCTAGAAGGATCTAGAAGATTCTAGAAGGATTCTAGAAGGATCCTAGAAGGATCCTAGAAGGATCCTAGAAGGATCCTAGAAGGATCTAGAAGAATCTGAAGATCATAGAAAGATCTATAAGGATCCTAGAGAGATCTAGAAGGACGAGAAGATCCTAGCAAGATCTAGAAGGATCTAGAAGGATCCGGAAGAATCCTAAAACAGCTGGAAAGATTCTAGAAAGATTTGGAAGGATTCTGGAGACCATCGAAGGATCAGGAACCTCTTTGAGGTTTTAAAAGGATCATAGAAAATTCTAGAAGGATTGAGACGAATCTGGAATGCCTCTGAAGACCCTAGAAGGATTCTGAAAATCTTAAAATCATCCAGGATCATTAGAAAGGATCCAAAAAGGTTCTAGAACGACATCTAATATTATAGAAGGGTTGTGAAGATCGCAGAAGAATCTAGAACTTCTAGATCCTTCTATGGTCCTCAGAAGCTTTCCAGATCCATCTGTGGACCTCAGAATTCCTTCCGAGACTAGAAGGAACTTGAGAATCACAGATGGAAATCTAGAAGGATCCAAGAGGATTCTAGAAGGATCTGGGAAGGTTCTGAAAACGTCTGAACTCACAATCTCCTCCTCCTTGAACGACGACTTCTGCTTCTCCGAAGTAAAATCGAACGGATCCTCATTCCGATCCAACAACAGCTGCTGATCCCAAATGATCGAATACTCGTCTCCATCCAAATCCGATCCAGCCATTTCATCTGGATGTGGGCGTGGTCCATGCTGTGGGAACACCACCACATCACACATGTGATGCAGTTCTGGGATATCGACGGCTTCAAAGATTCTGACGTCGCCGGCGACGATGCACGGATTCTTGGTGAGGAGTACGGTACCGGTGAGCACCGAGCGAGACGCACTTTTTGGTGGAAGTTTGAGCGCCAAGTTTCGTGTGTATTGGACGAAGATTTGGCCGTATTGAAGACGTCCCGTCTCGTCGACGACTCCAAGCATCGAGCGGCCGAGATCCGCCGGGATTGGGATTTGCTCTTTGCGCAGTTGTTTGGCTGGAAAATTCAGGATTGGTAGGCTGTTTTAAGAGCTAAAAATGGCTAAAAAACGTCTCTAGACCATTTCCGACGCCTAAAATCGGAAAAAATGGATACTGATGGCTCTAGAATCGTCTCGAACCTATTTTGATCATTCTGGGGCCATTTTTGACGCTTTAAACTTACTAATGGAGAACTTGATGGATGCCTTGATAAGAGATCGGAAGAACGGCTCGCTGGATAGTGTGAAGCCCCACGTTGTGCGGAGATAGTCAATGTCGATGCGACGAGGAAGCTCCTGGAATTTGGGTTTCAAAGTAAAACCTGTAATAGAAGGGCCCCCTGACTTTCAACTTTGAGCCAATTTATCTCGGTCCCTGGCAAAGATATAAAAACATTGTCAACTGAAAAATTGTTTATCTTAATATCACAAACATTTTATCAGGGGACACAGTTTTGATATCTTTCATAGGAACCGAGATAATTGAGCACAAACTTGACAGTATGGGGGCCCTTCTAATACAGGTTTTATGGTGTCTGAAAACGTTAAAAATCGCTCAACATTTTTTGGTCGCTTTTTTGATCTTTTTGGGATAGTTATTAGGCTATTTTTAGTCATTTTCTGGTATTTTAGGACCGATTCTAATTGATTTTTGACATTTTTCGGCCAAATTTTTTAATAACTTTTAACTATTTTCGACTAATTTAGGCCCTTTGACCGAATTCCAGCTCTTTTTGGGCATATTTTCGATAGTTTCTAGCCATTTTTGGGTCATTTTTCCCGATATTTCTCTGACCAATTTCAGCATATTTCGGCCGTTTTCTGACCTTTTTCGAACACAATTTCCCACCAATATTATCTTATTTCTGACAATTTTTCACTCGATTTTGGAACATTTTTTGGCCAATATTCGGTAATTTTGACACAATTTCCAGGCATTTTTAACCCGATTTTTGCCCATTTTTAGACCTTTTCCTTATTAAAAAAAGCAGTTCACACCTTCAGCCGATTCCTACAAAACGTCTCATCGATCATTTGTTGTGCAAACGAGAGCATCTGTCGATCCAACAACTCCTCGATGCGATTCGTGACTCGTCGATGGCATTCCAACGATTGCATTTCTGATACCTGCGAAAAATGAGCAATTTTTAGGGGAGATAAGGGGGGTTTTTGAGCCATTTTGTTTTATTTTAAAACGAAATTCCGACTTTTTTGAATTACAAAAATTGGCCTTCTAGGTCATAATCTCGATCGAAATTCGGAAATTTCAAATTGAAATTGATGATTTTCAGGCCAAAAAATGACGTTTTCAGATCCGAAAATAATGCTTTTCGGTCGAAAATTGACGATTTTCAGGTCTAAACTTGAGGGTTTTTGTGTCAAATATCGAGAAATTTTCGGTCAAAAAATGAGGATTTTAGGACCTAGAACGACGTTTCTGGGTCGAAAAATTACGATTTTAGGTCAAAAAATCATTTATTTTGGAACAAAATTGAGGGATTTTCGGTCGAAAAGTGACGGTTTCAGGCCAAAAAATGACGTTTTCAGATCCGAAAATAATGCTTTTTGGTCGAAAATTGACGATTTTCATGTCTAAACTTGAGAATTTTCAGGTCAAAAATTGAAGATTTTTCGGTAAAAAAATAACGATTTTTAGGTTGAAAAATGACGTTTTTTAGGTTGAAGAATGACGTTTTTGGGTCCAAAAATAACGATTTCTATGTCTAAACTTGAAGATTTTGTGTCAAATGTTGAGAATTTTTCGGTCAAAAAATGACGATTTCAGATCCGAAAATTGCCAATTTTAGAACAAAATCGAGGGATTTTCGGGTCGAAAATTGAGGATTTTAGGACCTAAAACGACGTTTTTGGATCGCAAAATCATTTATTTTAGAAAAAAATTGAGGATTTTTAGGTTTAAATTGACAATTTTCAGATCGAAAATAGAATATTTTTATGTCTAAAATTGTGGATTTTAGGTCGAAAAATGACCGCTTTTATGACAAAAATTGCAGACTTTAAGATCTAAATATGACGTTTTTCGGCCAAAAAATGACGATTTTAGGTCAAAAAATAATTATTTTCAGGTCCAAAAACGACGATTTTTAGGTCGAAAATTGAGGATTTTAGGACCTAAAACGACGTTTTTGGGTCGAAAAATGACAATTTTAGGTCGAAAATCGGCAATTTTAAAACAATAACAAGGGATTTTCGGGTCGAAAATCTCTCTAATGTCTCTACCTGATCCAGAATATTGATAAACGGTTTGTTGAGCGAAACTGGGACTGGCGACGAGTACTTGACAATTTCCACCTGGTCCCTTGGATGGCGTTTCGAGATGAACTTGATTTGCGACGGACGGAATACACAGTTCAGACCCCATGCCGTGTCTTCCGACACTTCTTGGATGTCATTCTCGATGGACCATTGACGGAGATCATCGAGGAACGGTTCGACGGCGATCACTCCTTTCATACCACGGAAACGGAACTGAAATTGGGGAGGGGTTTTAGAACGAAATTAGGGGTTTTCAGAGGCTAAAATAGTGTTAGAGTCGACTACTTTCAGGTTGAAAGTTGTGCAATTTTGGGACCAAATTGTGTTATTTTCACGTCAAAAATTGACGATTTTCAGGTAGAAAAGTGACGATTTTTGGGGTAAAAATTGAGGATTTAAGGTCGAAAATTGAGTATCTTTAGATCGAAAATGAAGATTTTTGGGTCAAAAAATGACGATTTTCAGGTAGAAAAGCGACAATTTTTCGGTAAAAATTGAGCCTTTTAGGTCGAAAATGAGCGATTTTAAAACGAAATTGAAAGGTTTTCATGTTGAAAATTGAGGATTTTTAGGTTGAAATTAGGGTTCTTAGAGTTGAAAATCGACCATCTTAGGAGGAAATTGACTTTTCTTGAGCCATAAAAATTGACTTTTCAGCTCTAAAAACTCCTTTTCCCACTATATTTCCGTACCTGAAAACAGCTGGGAACGCCCTTTCCAAAATCCATGACCTGCGAGACCATTTGCGCGAAATTCATGCTCATCATACCAACACCATCCGAGAACGTGTATTCGTCTCCCTTGATATTCTTTCCGCCCGTCAAATCGTACATTGTCACATAGGTGCAACGGTCGAGATTCACTCCGGAGAGCTGGAAAAAGAAATTGACGTAAAAATTTGGGTTACTGTAGGTTTACTGTATCTCGGTCCCTGTAAAAGCTATCGAAATGTGGTCAACTGGCAAAATGCTAATCATATCATTAGGAACATTTTATCAGTTGATCACTTTTTGATATCTGTTACAGAAATCGAGATAAATTAGTCTAAATTGGAAGGTATGGGTGCTCTTCTATTACAGGGTTTCAGGGTTTCAGATTGACAATTATCAGGTCAAAATTTGAGAAAATTTCAACATCTCAAAATTTCAAAATTTCAGATTCCCAGAATCTGAAAAATCTGGAGATCTTCAAATTCCAGATTCTCAGAAGTTCAGAATTTCAGATTTTCAAAATTTGAGAATCTAGGAAGTTCAGAATCTTATACCTCAGAATCTTAAAAGCTAGTTGCCTGGTGCATCTACCCTCCAACTCCTTCTAAAGGTTCCCTCTACCCACGCAACGACACTCCGCTATACCGCTCGGCGCGCGCACAGTTTAAATTTAGTTTTGAGTGATTGCGAGCTTGGATTTGGTTCGTAGTTTTGCTAGAGACTCTTTTAAGGATTTTAAGTGAGTTTGCTTAAATTAAAAACTTTCTAACTTGTTCATAATAAACCGATTTTGTTACATTTCTTGTTGATTTTCTTCTATTTTATCACAGGAACCTGATACCCCGGACATACCGCGGGCAATTAGCTCAGAGAATTCAAAGATTTCAGAATCTTAGAATTTCAGAATTTTCGACGTCTACCAATTTCCGATTCTCGGAAGTTCAGAATCTCGGAATTTCAAAATCTTGGAATTTCAAAATCCCAAAATACCTACCCGACTCTGCGTAAAACTACGGAGAGCTGGAAACAGAAATGGGCGTAAAAATTTGGGTTACTGTAGTTTTACTGTATCTCGGTCCCTGTAAAAGCTATCGAAATGTGGTCAACTGGCAAAATGCTAATCATATCATCAGGAACATTTTATCAGTTGATCACTTTTTGATATCTGTTACAGAAATCGAGATAAATTAGTCTAAATTGGAGCGTCTGGGTGCTCTTCTATTACAGGGTTTCAGGGTTTCAGAGTGATAATCACAGAATTTCAATATCTAAATATTTCAAAATTTCAGATTCCCAGAATCTGGAAATCTTCCATCTCCAGATTCTCAAAATCTCGGAGTTCCAGAATTTCAAAATTTTGGAATTCCAGAATCTGAAAAATCTGGAGATCTTCAAACTCCAGATTCTCAGAAGTTCAGAATTTCAGATTTTCAAAATTTGAGAATCTCGGAAGTTCAGAATCTTGGAATCCCAGATTTCGAAGGTTTCAGGATCTCATAAGTGTAGAATTTCAGAATTTCGGAATCTCAAAATCCCAAAATACCTACCCGACTCTGCGTAAAACACTGTCCCAACCGTGCCATCATCTTCGGAATATTATCAATCGTTTCGAATCGTCCCAAATTCTTCCTGGCCGCCTGAATCTTCGGATTGAACGTTATCGGCGGAGCCATTCGACACATTTTTTCGTACTCTCTACACTGCGAACTCGAGTACTTCTCCATAAAGTACGCTCCATTATCTCTCATCTGCGAGTTGGAGCTTCCAAGATAGCCGAAATTCCTTCCGGCCACCGTAATACCATTCATCAGGTACGTATTCACAGTCTTCTCCAGAAGCGTCGACGTCTTATTCGTTCGCATCTTCTGATTGTCGTCGTCGCGGAAAGTGATGCGGAGAACGCGTGTACCGTCGTGATCATATCGTCTGAGTACTCGATTTCCCATCAACGTCTCCGGCGCCACGTAGATGACTCGTGTAGGCGTGAAGATGATCTTTCGGACGCGTTGATAGCCTTCACGCATCTCCTCAGTCGTCAGACCATTGACTAGACTGTTCTTTTGACGTGTTTGACAGATGCGATCGAAGCACTGGAATTTTGGAATTGAAAAGGAGCTGGAAATCGATTTTCAGCCAAATTCGGGCCATTTGACTGGAAATTTTAGAAATTAAAAAACAAAAAATTGCTGAAAATCGTGAAAAATGTCTGAAAACGGGTCTAGAGTCGGTGCTAAACTATCCAAAAACTCAGGCCGAATTCAGGTCATTTTAGATCGAGTTTAAGCTAAATTTAAGCAATTTTTGATCGATTTTCAGCCAGATTTAGGCAATTTTCGCTAGATTTTAAGCGAAATTTAGGCCACTTCTATTCTATTCTAAGCAAATTTTAAGACATTTTTACTAATTTCAAGCTTGATTTAGGCCGATTTAGACAGATTTTAAGCTACATTTGAGGCATTTTTTGACCAATTCTAGGTCAGCCGTTTTCGACAGTTTTAAGGACGAAACTGGCCCAATTCAGCCTATTTTTGATTTAAGTCCATTTTAGACACATTTAAAGCCGAATTTTGAGCTATTTAAACAGATTTTAAGTCAAATTAAAACCGATTTTGAGCCAAATTCCGATTTTTTGGAGATTTTTTCCAAGACTCCACACCACCTTGATCAACGATCCGATTCGCTTTCTTCCATCAATCATATGAACCAAATCCTCGAGACCCGCCTCGCAGAGCTTATCGTCCTTCGTGTAGTAATGCAGAATCACTTCCAAGAATCGATGCCAAATCGTGTCGTCGAGAAGAATCTGATCCTTGACGACGGCTCCTCTCGAGATGAGACATTCCAGGAGGTAGGTGATGGCGAATTTTCGCTCGCGATTCGTATCCACTTCACGGGATCCGCACACTTCGTGTTTTCGTGGGAACGCCTTTAAAAAATTGAGGTTTTCAGTCAAAAAATGATCGCATTCAGCGAGTTTCAGAGAGGCCGAAATTGGCTAGAAATCGTCAAAAATTGATTTTTTCAGCCATTTTTCAGTCATTAAGCGAGTTTCAAAGTTTCAAAATATGCTTTTCGGCTATCAAATTCGGTAATTTTCAGCCTAAAAACGAATATTCGAGTTCCAGAGAACGGCTGAAATTGGCTAGATATCGCCAAAAATGATATTTTTTTTAGCTAAAATTGACTGGAAACCGCCGAAAATTACTTTTTTTTTTCAACCATTTTCAGCCGGAAATGCCTAATTTAGCCTAATTTTCCGCCTGACAATGATACGATGATGAAAATAGGGGTTTTTGGGTCCAATTTAGACATTTTTGTATCATTTTTCCTAATTTCTACACAATTTGAAGCTGAGAATCGGGATTTTACAAATTTAATTTAGTTATTTTTTTAGTCAAAAATCACAATTTCCATCACCTACAGTAGTAATAAAATCGCGATAAATCGGCGCCGAGAAGTGCGTTGGCGATAGGTGTGAGCTGCCGTGAAACGTCCAACGATGATACGGATTCTCTCGCCAGATGAGACAATCGACTGATGGTATTGTGGCAAATTCGATGGAGACACCGGTGCGGATGCGAAGACGTGAGATCAGTCGATACACTTCTTCGAGCTGCAAGAATTGAGATTTTGGGATCGAAATTCGAGGTTTTTTGAGGTAAAATTTCGGGATTTCGGAGCCAAAAATTGGATTTTCTGATGTAGATCTCCCAAGATTTTAAAGTGAGATTGGCGTATTTCGAGGTGATATTTTGGGATTTCGGAGCCAAATTGAAGGTTCTCTGAGGTAAAATTTCGAGATTTCAGGATCAAAAACTAGGGTTTGCAATGTGAAATTAGCGTATTTCGAGGTGAAATTTAGGGATTTTAGGATCGAAAATTAGGGTTTTCAATGTGAAATTTCGTGATTTCGGGAGCGAAATTGAGGTTTTTTTAATGTGAAATTTCATGAATTGGGGATCAAAAATTGGATTTTTTAATGTCAAATTCCAGGATTTTGAATTGAAATTGGCGTATTTCGAGATGAAATTTCGGGATTTCAGGATGAAAAATTAGGGTTTTCAATGTGAAATGTCTTCAGTTTGGGATCGAAGTTGAGGTTTTTTTGAAGTGTAATATCGGGATTTCGGAGCCAAATTCGAGGTTTTCAATGTGAAATTTCATTATTTTGGGAACGAAATTGAGGTTTTCTGAAGTGAAATTTTGGGATTTTGGGATCAGTATTCAGGTTTTTTAGGGCAAAATTTCGCGATTTAGAGACGAAAATTGAAGTTTGTCTGAGGTCGAATTTCGAGACTTTTCGAGCATTTTCAGCCACTTCAATCCATTTCCAGCCCATGTTCACTCACACTGACAGACGTATCAAACTCTATAGTGAACACTGGACTATCCGTGATGGCTTTCGGCGTCGGATACATATTCGCCGATCGTCCACGATTGATGACCAGGAAACGACGATAGTGCGGGACTTGGTGTTTGGCTTCAGCCTCTTGTTTCTCCGTCTTATAGGCTCTTCTGATGAGCACCGGGCAGTTGAGCTCGAAATGAATGCGAATTCGATCACCTCCGTTCGTATCGTTGACGACTGGATCCACAATTACACGACGGATCGAAGTGCGACGGACCTGGAAAATCATGAAAATTGGGAAAAATCGTCAAAAAATGCCAAATTTTCGATTTTTGCGAACTTTCCGAAATTCAAAATGGAATCAAAAACATATTTTTCAGCAAATTTTCAGTTAAAATTCAGTCAATTCGGTCGTTTTTTTCGAATTTTTCGGATTTTTAGTGCATCAAAACTACAGAAAATCTAGACGATTTTCCAGATATTTGACGTCTGAAAATGCCATTTTCAGCCGGATTTTCGGGACATGTATTGAAATTTGCCTAATTTCGGACATAGTAAATTGGTGAATTCACAAGTTCAAAAATTCCGAAAAATGGCTTGAAAAATGGCAGCTTTTCAGCCCTAAATTGATGAAAAAATATTTTTATAACTTCCGTTTTTTTCAGAAATTCGAAAAAAAGTCAGAATCCCAAAAAAATCGAAATTCCGAAATTCCAAAAATTGCGGGAGCTCGAGAGCTCAGAAATTCCAAAATATTTGAAAAAATTGAGATTTTCTGAAAAAAAGTGGGCGGAGTCAAGCTAGGCTCCGCCCCTTAGTTCGCCAATTTTTAAGACTGAAAATGGTCTAAAAATTCCAAGTATAAGCTTAAAATAGATTTGCGGTCAAAATTCGATTTTGCGAATTTTCAGAAATTCAAACTGGTATCAAAAAACATATTTATTCAGCCAATTTTCAGTCAAACTTCAGTCGAAAAAGGCTGATTTTCATACGTTTTTTTCGAATTTTTCGGATTTCTAGTGCATCAAAACTACAGAAAAGAAAACCTAGATGATTTTCCAGACATTTGAATTCTGAAAATGCCATTTTCAGCCGCATTTTCGGGAGATTTTCTGATTTTGACTAATTTCGGACATAGTAAATTGGTGTATTCACAAATTCATAAGTTCAAAAAATTCGAAAAAATCAGAATTTCACAATTTCAAAAATTCCGAAAAATGGCTTAAAAAATGGCGGGTTTTGAACCCTGAATTGATGAAAAAATTAAGAAATTCGAAAAAAAAATCCGAATCCCAAAAACTCGAAATTCCAAAAATTGCGGGAGCTCAGAAATTCTACAATATTCGAAAACAATTGAGATTTTCCGAAAAAGTGGGCGGAGTCCGGCTCCGCCCCTTACTCCGGCAATTTTTATGACTGAAAATGGCCTAAAAATTCCAAATTTTGGCTTAAAATAGACCAAAAATCATGATTTCTCCCACCGTAATCTGATAATACATGGTGACAGTCTCTCTGGTCTTCCTAAAATCCTTCGAAATCACTTCAAAATCCCCTTCCTTATGCTTAAAATGAACTGTCATGAAGTCGACTTTGTCGAACTCGAATTCCACACGAATCTGATTCAATCCTTGACGATCCGACGCCGTCGGTTGCATATTCTTCTGTCGGAGACGATTTCTGCGATGTGTGTCCTCCCAGAACGACACTTCCCAGTGATTGATGAACGTTCCTCCTTGGATATTGCCGAAAAAGAATGCGGATAGAGGGATGTCAGCCAGGTGGCATGTGAGTTCGGACGACCAGAAGTCGGAACTGTGAAGGACCAGATTGCCCAGTTGGAATGGCATCAGACGGTCCTGGAATAGGCCAGATTTAGAGGTTAGGACTGGGAAAATCGGATTTTTTAGCTTTAAATTGAAGGAAAACTTCATTTTCAGACCCATTTTTCGTTCAAATCAAACAATATTTTGAAAAGTTCGATTTTTTGAAATTCTGAGGACATGCTCAATTAGGCTCTGCCCCTCGCGCTCCGCTTATTTTCCGTAATTTTCAATTTTTAAACTTGGCGGAGTAAGGGGCGGAGCCTAGCTTGACTCCGCCCACGTTTTCAGAAAATTTCAGTTTTTCAAATCTCTTGGAATTTCTGAGCTCTCGAGCTCCCGAAATTTTTGGAATTTCGAGTTTTTGGGAATCTGATTTTTTTGGAACTTCTGAAAAAACCGAATTTATACATATATTTTTCATCAATCTACGGCTAAAAATCCGCCATTTTTCAAGCCATTTTTGAATTTTTGAACTTCTGAATATGTGAATTTTTTGAAATTTACTTGAAAAATCTGGATTTTTCAGCTTTAAATTGAAGGAAAACTTCATTTTCAGACCCATTTTTCGTTCAAATCAAACGAAATTCTAGAATTTTTTCTTCAATTTTCAAGGCATTTTGAGTGAAAATGCTGGAATTTTTAGTGCATTTTCAGCCAAATTTCCGATTTTTTACACGAATTTCATCAGAATTTGGGGATTATTTAGCATTACAAGATTTTCAAAAATCCCGATTTTTCAGAGATTTGAAGTCTGAGAGAAATTCGGAAATTCAGAGAAATTCGGAAATTCGGAAATTCTGAGAAATTCCAAAAAATCAGAATCCAAAAAACTCGAAATTCCAAAAATTCGAGAGCTTGATAGCTCAGAAATTTCAAAATATTTGAAAAATTGAGATTTTCCAAAAAAATGGGCGGAGTCAAGCTAGGCTCCGCCCCTTACTTCGCCAATTTGGAATCGGAAAATTCGAAAATTACGGAAAATAAGCGGAGTCGAGGGGCGGAGCCTAATTGAGCATGTCCTCAGAATTTCATAAATTCGGAATTTTTCAAAAAATCGAAACTTTTCAAAACGTCAGAAACTCAAAAAATACAAAAAATGGTCTTAAAAATAGAGATTTTGGTGAGAAAAATCAAGAAAAAATCAATATTTTCTCCAAATTTTATACCATTGACAAACTCTTCAAATAGTTCTGAATCGCTATTATCAAGTGATGCGAGAAGTGCGAGGAGACGATCTGAAATTTTTTGAAAAATTTGAATTTCCCGCCAAATCTTTCTAAAAAACCTCATAATTCGACTCGTAAAACGGCTCACAATCTTGCTCCTCAACCGCCTGAACCTGTCCTTTTGTGTGAATTCTCATGTTGTAGCTGTTCAGAGCCTAGAAATCGATTTTTTCGAAATTTTAGGCCTTTTTTAGGTCAAAAATCGACACTCACTGGCTCCAATTTCGTTGTATGACATCGAATAATATTATTCATGTGGCGCTCCGGCTCGAAACACGGAATTTCGAGCTTAATCCATCCTCGATAACCTTCGTCCCCCATTTTTCAAGGTTTTTCGGACTTTTTTATTACTACTAGAATGCTTTTATTACACTTGGTTTGGGTGATCTGAAAAATTGAAATGGAAATTTTTTTTTTGAATTTTGCATCATTTTTTGCGAAATTTTCGAGATTTTTCGAAGGTTTAGAGGTTTAGAAACGAATTTTTCGTGAAAATCGGCAATTTTTTCATGAAAAATCATTGAAAAAACCGGAAAAATCGCTGAAAATAGCTCTAGAAACGAAAAACAAAAATTTCGAAACAATTTGGGATTTTTCTAAATACAGTATCCGGCTTCGCGGCGAATCTTAAGAAAAGTTTTAGGCGATGTGCCTTTAATTTTTTTTTTTTGAAAATCGGGGAAAAAGCGATTTTTTTGTAAAATCTTCCTTTTTTTTTAATAAAACGAGACAACTTTAGCAAAAAACGATTAAAATTTAGCCAAAAAAAAAACAATAAAAAAATGCGCGTTAACGAACAAATGCAGACTGCACAACTTTTTTTCTACCGTAGTACGCATAAACACGCCGGCGGCCGCCGGCTACAGCCGAGTCGTCGCAGCCGGCAGCCGGCGAAACGCCGAAAATTTGCCGCCGTTGTTCCGCCGGCGTTTGTTTTTCCCAGCCCTAATTTTTAGCAAAAAAAAAAAGCAAAGAGAAACAGAATATTGTCTATTCAAGATAATCGCGCGGGTGAACGAGAAAAAAAAACGTGTAGAGAGTCTCCAAACCTATAGAGGCGCTGTAGAGACGCAGACATTTTTACTCGTTCACTCGCGCGATTATTTTGAATAGACAATACTAGAACTTAAGCTATTGTCGAATTGAAAAAAGTGACACCTGAGAATTTGAAAACTTTTGCTTTTTTTTGATCTACGAAAAAATGCGGTAAAAACGTAATATTTCAGATTTTCGGCTAGTTCGAGCTACTTTCGCGTTTGAGTTTAGTTTTTTTGGCGAAAAATAGATTCTAGAGATGCTAGCGATCATTTTCATAACAAGAAATCAAAATTTTGTTCAGAAAATCCCACAGAATTCACAGAAATAAATTTGTTATCTACAGTATCCGTTTTCGCTCCGCCCCCTCGTAAATCGACACGAGCGCCGTCTCCGAGATTTTCAGGTGTCACTTTTTTTAATCCGACAATATTTAGAAAATAAAATAGAAAACCTTGCAAATGACCCAAAAAAATTTCAACTACAGTAGTCCTACAGTATCAGGAGAAAATAGGCCAAGACGTGGCTCAAACTAAAAAAGCAAAAAGGATGATAAATCCACAAAAAAAACGGACAACTGACAGCAAATCCACCAAATTCAAATATTCCGAAATTTCCGACAAAATCCAGAATTCCCCTCTTCTGTGTATTCGTAACGCGATGTCTTCAACTCTCAAACTGAGGTAAGTTAATGCGCTCCATCGCACTCCGCTGGGAATTCGAATTTTCGGTGCCAGAAAACGCGCTCTATTGAACAGAAAAAAGCATTGGGGGGTTGTTTTTTTGAAATTTTTGCAGCTATACTATCATTAGAGAAGGCTACTACCATGGACTTTTACCACGGGAAGACGCTGCCGCTCTATTGACTCAGAATGGAGATTTTCTGATTCGCATATCCGAACCGACGGACGGTGCCGAACAGAATTTCATTTTGAGCTGTATGACTGATGATAAGTCGAAGTCGAATGATGAGAATCCGGGGGTGAGATATTGGGAAATTCAGAAATTTTGAAATTTTGAAATTCAGAAATTCCAAAAACTTCAGAATCGGAATTTTTGTATTTTTCATATTTTTTACGAGTGTATTTGAAATTCAGGAAATTCAGAAATTCAAGTTTTTAGGAATTTCAAAATTTCGGAATTCAGCTACATATTTTCAATTTTCCAGAACATTTTTTTTTGGAATTTTCGAATCTTCCAAAAAATCAGAAATTCAAAAATCCGAGAATTCCAAAGCTACAGTAATCTTCCGGAAAGGTATTCAAAAATTTGGATTTTTCGATTTTTTTTGAATTTCTGAATTTCTGAATTTCTGAATTCCTGAATTTCTGAATTTCTGAATTTCTGATTTTTTGATTTTCTGAATTTCTGAATTTCTTGAAATTTCAAATTTTTCTAATTTCAGATGCAAAATTTTGTGGTTGGATTCCAAAACGGACGCTACTTGGTTGCTGAGAATCACAGTTTTCCAACTATCGAAAAACTCGTCGAATTTCATAAAAAGAATCGAATTCAGAACATTTTTCTGAATCGCCCAATCATGAGACAATCATGGGAATTGGATCATGAGACTGTTGTAATTTTAAAGGTAATTCAGAAATTCGGAAATTCAGAAATTCAGAAATTCAGAAATTCAAAAATTCAGAAATTCAGAAATTCAGAAATTCAAAAATTCAGAAATTCAAAAATTCAAAAATTCAAAAATTCAGAAATTCAGAAATTCACTGTATATTTATAGAAATTGGGAGAAGGAGCATTTGGAGAGGTTTCAATGGGTGAATACACTCCAAAGATGGGAGGAAAACCGGTGAAAGTGGCTGTCAAACAGGCGAAACCCGAGAAATTGACAAAAGTTCAAATCAAGGAATTCATGAGAGAGGCGAGAATTATGAAGAACTTGTCGCATGAGAACGTTGTCAAGTTTTATGGCGTCGCTGCTGGTGGGTTACTGTGGATTTTAAAATTTATGCAGGTTTTGAAAATAAAAACCCCAAGATTTTAAGATTAAAACATCTGAAATTCTGACTTAAAAAAATTCTCCGAATCAAAAATTCCAAAAATGTCGGCTTTTCGAATTTCAGAATTTTTAGAATATTTTGAAATTTCAGATTATTTTAATTTTTTGAGGTTGTTATCAGTTTCCGGGACTGTCGATTTTTGGGATTACTGTAGATTTTTACAGGAATTTCGAAAATTCCTAAAATTTTGATGACTTCCGAAATTTCAAGAATTTTTGGTGTTTGGGTTACTGTAGCTTTTTGGGGTTACTATTGATTTTTAGACACTTTGAAGCATTTGAAAATTTTCTGAATTTCTGAATTTTTGAATTTCTGAATTTCTGAATTTCTGAATTTCTGAATTTCTGAATTTCTGAACTTCTGAATTTCTGAATTTCTGAATTTCTGAACTTCTGAATTTCTGAATTTCTGAATTTCTGAATTTCTGAACTTCTGAATTTCTGAATTTTTGAATTTCTGAATTTCTGAATTTTTGAATTTCTGAATTTCTGAATTTCTGAACTTCTGAATTTCTGAATTTCTGAATTTCTGAATTTCTGAACTTCTGAATTTCTGAATTTCTGAATTTCTAGTTTCTGAATTTCTGAATTTCCGAATTTCTGAATTTCTGAATTTCTGAACTTCTGAATTTCTAGTTTCTGAATTTCTGAATTTCTGAATTTCTGAATTTCTGAATTTCTAGTTTCTGAATTTCTGAATTTCTGAATTTCTAGATTCTGAATTTCCGAATTTCCGAAATTCGGAAATTCGGGATTTTTAAAAATGTTTAGTTTTCGAAATTTCGAAATTTTCGAATTTTGGTACTTTACTTTTGAATTTCGACATTTTGTAATTTTGAAACTAATTTGCAGTCCAAGAGCCGCTCTACATGGTAATGGAGTTGGCATCCAACGGTTCGCTCGACGGATATCTCAAAAAGAATCCAGATCTTCGTCCCGAAGTCTACAACGAGATGATTCTTCAAGCTGCATGGGGGTTGGAGTACTGTCACGAGAAGAATATCATCCATCGAGATATGGCCGTTCGTAACTGTCTTTATGGAGATCGCCAGGTCAAAATTTTGGATTTCGGGTTGTCCCGTCAGGTACCCTCGTACGGAATGGATTATTTCTGAATTTCTGAATTTCTGAATTTCCGAATTTCTGAATTACCTTTAAAATTACAACAGTCTCATGATCCAATTCCCATGATTGTCTCATGATTGGGCGATTCAGAAAAATGTTCTGAATTCGATTCTTTTTATGAAATTCGACGAGTTTTTCGATAGTTGGAAAACTGTGATTCTCAGCAACCAAGTAGCGTCC